CTGTGCTGCACCCATCCACTCGTCATTTACATCAGGTATAACTCCCAATGCAGTCCCTCCCCCTCCCCCTCCCATGATAGGCCCGGTGTGTGATGTTCCCTTCCTGAGTCCAAGTGATCTCATTGTTCAGTTCCCACCTATGAGTGAGAACATGCGGTGTTGGTTTTCTGTTCTCTGTGATAGTTTGCTAAGAATGATGGTTTCCAGCTGCAGATTAACAGGTTTGAAAATATTTAAAGCTATTGATAAATACCATATTTTTCAAGCAGTCAGAGTAAGTTTTCTGTAATGTAAAAAAAAAAAAAAAAACAGGAACTAAACTCAATTCAGGCATTTAATTTAAAATTATAGATAGCCCCAAACTTGCCAATGAATAGTTATGCAAAGTTATTTTCTAAAGAGTTTATATTAGATTTGACGTATATTTATTTAGTCATGGAGAAGGACATTATAAAGTTCTCAACTGCTCACAGTAGGAGATTTAACTTTTATTTAAATATAACTAAAATGTATTAATTATAAACAATGACGCTGGGTGCTTCTAAATCTTGAGTTCCCTATTCTCTCTTACTCTTTCCTCATCTATGTTTTTAATGTTTTCTGTGAGTACCAACATTCTGAACTTCATGGAGATGAAATTCTAAGCTAGAAGGCACCACCTACTCATTTAAGCACAAGGGCTAGAGAAAAAGAGAAGAGGACAGGAAACTGTGAAAGTGCTCCTGGGATGCTGATTCAAGGGTCCCAGGATTGGGCACTTTTCAAGGCATGATCGAGGGAAGTTCAGGAAAAAGGCAGTGAAAAGAGGTGAAGTAAAAGTCAGACTAACTCTGATGAATCACACATTAATGTTAAAAAAAAGAAAAAAAAGCCTGCATCAAAAAAGAATATTATTAAATCAACAAAGGATATTGGTATCAGGAGAAACATTTTTTGGTTATTTTGTTATTCTTCTACTATACATAATAGAGCATGTTTAGATAATTTAAAAGATGTAAAAATTCAAACAAATCCAAATTATTTTAATTGCATTTGTGTATATATATATACGCGCAATTAAATTATATATTTTTTTATCTTCTAGAAAATAGTAGCTGATTCACTTGAAGAAAATCTGCGTTTAGCTCGAGAGTATCAACAGCTACAGACTACATTCTTAAAGGAAAAGGACAATTATTTCACTATATATGATAAACAGCTATCACTTGATACTTCAATTAGAGACAAGAAACAGGTATTGGTTTTTCTAACTGTTTTAAGATAATGATTTATGTCATATATGCACTATAAAAGTAAAAAGTAGTCAGTTTGGGTACCTCTGATCTGACGGTGATACTCCACAACATGGCCTATTTTCTCTGTGTAGGTTTGTTGTATATTTATATCAACCTTTTAAAATTGAATTTTGAAAGAATATTGGAGAAATGAAAAACTTAGTTTCTAATCCACTATTCTATGCTAACTTGCTTTTAATTAAGAAAAACCAATTTTTTATTTGTAGATTTAAATATATTATCATAGTCTTCACATTTTAATTCTAAGAGTGGGTGATTTCCCATGGTAGGCCTCTAAATTGTCTTTTTAGTATACAGGCTCCAAATTCTGGTAACTGTTTTCTTATCAGCTATGGAGATTAATTGGAAACTTGGAAAAATAGCTGACTTTCTCTAATTACTGAAAATCATTGAGAATTCTAGATATATTTTGTAAAATCTTCTGTAACGGTATGTGGAAAGGTAAAGCACACAATATGCTATGAATCAAAAAGGAAGAAAGTGTTCCATTACTAGTGTTATGATACAGTCACTTCCTCTATGCTCTCCAGATACTTAGTAACAAGAACAAATATTTTCCTGTGAATATTTGTTTTCCTCCAGGATTCACATTTCAGAAAATACAGTTATTATTTTTTGACAACGTAACCATGAAAACCAAACTGATCCTTTCTCCTGCTGGTATCACCCATATCGTTGCATTATAAATCAGTAGTTTAGAATAGCGGTGCTATGCTTATGGCTATTACGGAATGTTGGGAAGGCAAAGGGTGGGATTTGAATGCAAGTTCTACTAGCTCCATGATCTTGGCAAGTTGCCTTTTCCAACCTCAGTTTTCTCATCTATAAAATAAGATTTACCTCACAGGGTACTTGGTAAATAATAAAAAAGAGCCATTCATAGTATGTTACTTTGAAATTTAAGGGCTGCTATACAACTGTAAGTAATTATTACATTCATCTGGCATCCTCCCTATCTACTTCCCTATTTCCCATTCATCTACTCTCATGAGAGTAAAAGCTTCTGAATACATTGGGAAAGAGAAGAATGCATTTTTCTCTTAAAATCTTGAAATGATAGCAACATGAAGATACATCAAAGTACAAGTGTTTGGGAGGCTAAGGTGGGAAGATCACCTGAAGTCAAGAGTTTGAGACCAGACTGGCCAACATGGTGAAACCCTGTCACTACTAAAAATACAAAAACTAGCCAGATGTGGTGGCATGCACTTGAAGTCCCAGCTACTCAGGAGGCTGAGGCAGGAGAACCACTTGAGCCCAGATATGGATGTGGCAGTGAGCCGAGAATGCACTGCTGCACACCAGCATGGGCAACAGAGTGAGACTCCATCTCAAAAAAAAAAAAAAAAAAAAGAATGAAATAAGTGTGTTTGGGAAAGAATTGATAATACAACTATCTACCAAAATCTTAGTGTCCTCAAACCATTTTGCAGGATTCAAAGAAAGGGCATGTATGTATCTATGAAGAATTTGTCCAGTCACCTCGTGCATTTGACATTTTTATTTGAGGTTAAATATGTTCTACTTGTTTTTCATAATTGAGAAGGAGAAAATAATCATTGGCCTTACTGTATGTCCTTTTCTAATTGGGGGAAACAAAAATAAATTGTATGTACACTTATCAGTTTATAAAGAATCACTTGGTGGCAAATGACAAATACATTCGATACGTGCATAAATCGTGGAGACCCCATGCTTTTTAAGAAAAAGCCCTAATATCACATTTTCATAGTAAGAGCAAAATTATCTTGATCTCATTTTGGAATTAAAGCAAATCTTGATGCAAGATACAAGGACTGAGACTGTAGTAGGAACAGACAGTGGAGATTGCTAGGAGATTGGGTTTATGTTTGTGTTCCCTCAGACGAATCACTTTTAGCACACCTGTTTCAGGGAAACTTTCAAGATTTATTTGTACTTCCAATCATTTTTCATTTCCATCCTTCAGCGATGGAGGTCATTAAGTGCAGGCTGCCCTTGTCAGTGTCATGTAGGATCAATTTGCTGCAATGGACAGAGAGGCCTTATAGATGCTGTTAAATCTGTCAGTGAGAAATCGTATGTCATTAGCGTCTAATGCACTGCTTACAGGATGGAATTTGGCCATCAAAAATGAGAAAACTCTTTAATATTTTAGTCCATTTCCTTGATATTGCAGCATTTCCCATGTATGCAGGTTTTAGTTCTTTGGCCAGTTTCGTTTGGGTACACAAAAGCACTATTCAGTCTCTGATTCCCTTGTTGAATTCCCTTGTCAGATAAAACGGATCTCACTTTTAGGAATTTTGTGCATCTTTTTCCTGTTTTAGACTAATTTCATTGCTTCTGAACATGAATTCCTTTTGCCATGGTAAATAACTGTATTTTAATTGTTGTGTTTCTTAGGGACTATTATTCTCTCTATACAAATTGTACATTTTCATACTTCTTTGTATTTTTATGCCGAGAGTAATAAAGTAAACCTAATGAAAGAGTAAAACAGATTTAAAATAATGTCCCCTTACTTAACACAATCTTACATACACATGTCTCAGATGTTAGAATGCTATAGTATTTCTCATAGTGTTAATATTATGTCTGCTTTATTTGCTTGTGTTATTTTTGATACTTTCCTGTACTTTTAAAATTTGTAGTGATGGATATTTTTGCCTTTAAAAATCAGAAAGAGGCAAAAGCAAGTGTGCAAAATTCTTATTTGCCCTGTTCATGGGTAACAATAGAAAATAATCTAAGACTTCTTAGAAGTCAAAATTAAAACTAACACTAGAAATACATGAAGGAAAATCTCTGAAAAACAGATTATACTTCCATGTGAATATAGACATTTTCGTTAGAAGCTTTCAAATACTTTTTATAAAAATACGTCATTTTTAATATTTTATCTTAAAAGTAAAAAATCCACGGGTATTTTGATGAAGTCACCATGTATTTGTTTTAAGTGCCACCTCAGATTCTTTGTGCCTGCACAGAAAGGTAAGTTAAGCAAGCTTGCAGATCCTGAAGTGATCTGTTGGCTGAAAACAAGATGGCTTCCAAAATGTGTTAAAATACATTTTTAAAATTATATCATTAACCATTTGTAAAGCTTTACACTTCCTTATTACAAATCCCAGTGCTTTCAAACTAAGGTAATGAAAATTATTACAGAATCAGCCAACACGTAGCAATACTTATGTGGACAAAGTATTTGTGCTATATTGTTTGCAAATATTATCTTTCAGTGTCTCTCAATAATCCTGGGGAATTTTTTATTACTATTATCATCTCTCCCAATGTAAGATATAGAACTAAAATTGAGTGTCACACAAGATTGCTCAAGTAGAGGGAGATGCTGGGATGGGAATCAAATTCAGATTTTTCTTATATCTAATCTATTTCAAAATTATAATACTACCTCTTTACTATAACATTAATTAAACAGTCCTATACATGGCTAATCAGGTTATGTAAAGCTTTGAAAAAAAACATGTAATTTATATATGGTATCTCTAGTGTTCAACTGAAATAGATTATTTAATTCTCTAGTTGTTTCTGTAATTTTAGTTCATTAGAGCCACTTTTTAGTGATTTTCTGGGGAAAGGGCCACCTGTTTACTTGGAGGAGATTTAATTTTTATAGGGATCATAGGTAGGTTTCATAATTCTAAATTGTAAAACTTTTGAACTAGAAATGCCTTTAGAAATATTGCCCTCCTCTTTAAAAAATAATTTTACAGAGGAAGAATCTTGGGGAGGCCAGAGTGGCTTAGTGATTTACCACATACACGATTAGGTAGAAGAAATGTTGTCCTAGAACTTAGTTTTCTTTACTCACATTCAGATGTTCTTTCCAATAAACTGCAGATGAGCATATGCTATGATTTTTTTCGGAGGTTTGTCTGGACCAATAGCTGAGATGTAAGCGGCTCTTTTAAGTGGTTTGGGCCTGTGAAGGAATCACAGAGACATAAATTAGAGGACTACTCTGCAGCAGTGTGTTGGCCTCTAGGGAATACTTCTGATCCTCATGGAACATTTGTAATCCATTCATTCAATTATTCAAAATATATTATTAATCACCAATTGTTCTATATACCAGCAACGAACAATTGGAATTTGAAATTTAAAATACCAGCCATGAGCAATTGGAATTTGAAATCTAAAACACAATGCCATTTATATTAACACACACGCACACACAAATTAAGTGAATTTAACAAAATATGTATAAGATCTATATGAGGAAGGGCACAAAATGAATGAAAGGAATAAATCAAAGAAGATCTAAATAGATGGAGAGATATTCCATATTCATGGCTAGGAAGACTCAATATTGCTAAGATATCCATTATTTCCAACTTGATATATAGAGTCAATACATTCCCAATAAAAATCCCAACGTATTTTGTGAATATCAATCAAATGATTCTAAATTTTTTATGAAATATAAAAAGACACTAAATAACCAGCAAAATATTGAAAAATAAAGTTAGAGGATTAACACTATCTGGCTTCAAGATTTACTATAAAGCTGACAAAGATACTATAGAAGATATAGAAATGTGCCACCTTATTTCTGCTTCCGTGCTGAAGGTTGTGCTCTCCAGTCCAGGAGATTCTTTCCTAGACAATAATGTAGAATCAGAGCTCTCCAGCAGCCTTTCTTCACCCCACCAAGAGAAGAATTGTGTATTTTTGCTATTTAATCTACCTTGCCTGGGTCTCATTGGACAACATTTCTATATTAAATTCTCAAAAAATTGTATCATCTATAGATTATATAAATTTTCTCATCAACTTTCCAACACAGTTTTCTTTAATACTCACTTTGTATCGATGTGCTTAGGAGTCAATGTCAATTATAGCAATAAACAAAGTTATTTTCCTAGAGAAATATGAAAGCTGTTTGATTCTCATTTTTATAAGTATTTAGTATTGCTTGTTGTCCTGCACACCATAT